ATCATTACTTGACACTTAATGATATCTGAAACATTATCGACATTTTTCAGAGAAATACATTTCTTTTAATTTTTATACGATAAAAAATTTTTGTTCGCTATAATTGCTTCCGACAGTTTTTCACCATTCATGTTTAGCTAATTTTTGTGTCGTCATTTCTTATTTCGCCATACGTTTGTTCACTATTTTTTCTTTCGGCCATTTTGATACATACCACAGCAGTATACTTGCCATAAAAACAGAAAAATCAGATAGTTTTAGGGCGAGTACGCTTACTTGGTTACTTTTTTTAGCGGAGCGATAAGTTTTTTAACATATCTTTTCAGAATTTTCTAGCAGAACATGCCGAAAACTTTATCGATTTTGCTGGCTAATAATGAATAATTTTAAATTATTGGAGAGGTGTACACCCCCACCACTTTCACGATGCCTGGACTTAATCACAGGTAGTTGGCTGTAAAATCTGCACGAAAATGTTTTTTATCTGTCAAGGTTTATTATCTACACGGAATTCTCGTAAAAAGAAAGTGGACAGCTTTTTCTGATTATCAGATATCATTCTTTTGTCAGGATCTTGAAGGTAAGGAAGCTAATATTGAGATCAAGTTAGTGGTTTACAAGAAAATGGATACAGGGGACGCAGAAGCAACGAGTCGAGAGAGACAAAACACCGACGAGGAGTAGGCTTATCTATTTCAGGTGAAAGACGTTTTTCCAGAAGGATCTACGCAGCATTTCATTCTTGCAGTCAGAGTATTCAAACGAAAGTGCAGAGAATTTGTATTATGTGTGTGTTTGTTAAGTTAATCGGGACATTACTAAAATATCATCAATTGAAAAAAGAAATAAGAAATATTTTGAAATTTCAAGATATCATCACAACTTCTTTTGGAAATAAAGTTGAAAAAGGCAAAATGGAGATGACAACTCTCACTTAGACTGTAAAGTAAAATATACATCATAGATAATAAAGAAAAATATTCTAGAAATGTCCATATGAATTTGTCAGCCATCTTTCACATTCTTGAAAGTATGACATTTGATTAAAAACAGAAATTCAAGTTTTTATTTTCTAATTAAAAAATCAACAGGGAACTCATGCGAACTTTTGTAGGAAATTGAACTTCATTTCACTATCTGAGTATTTTTCTAGAAAGTAGAAAATCTACTGGGACTTTCTATTCTCAAGAAAAAAAATGTAGCTATACTCTGCAGATAATTGATCTGTAATGTTAAGACTGTTTATAGGTCAAAAATAAGTAGTATAAATATAAAAAATGGAACCCGCATAATTAAACATTATTTTGTTTATAAATCGAAGAAAATAAACATATGCTGAACAACATTCTTCATAAAAAAGATTATTAGAAAAAAAGCAGCGCAAGTGAAGATATAAGCAATACTATAGGTACTAGAAAATACTTCTTCAGTATTCAATAAAGGAAAGAATGGATTATAATGGAAGAATAACTATTTAAAAGAACATTTCAATAAGATGCAGAATGTTTCAACGTACAATACTTGATTTTAACTTTAAGAGCATCAATCACATGGAAGACGATATAGTTTATTTAAAAAATAGCAAAAAGCTACCAATATCTACTATATTTACAGAAAAATATTTATTTCTAATATTCTTGTTCTTTGAGAAAAGAATGAGCGGATCGTTATATGAGCGTTACTTGTTTTATTTAACAATTGAAAATGATTATATTCATGAATAAGAACAAATAACAAATAGATTTTAAATACAGGGAATTTTTCTTCATACAAATAAGAAAAAGATCATATGATAATATCAATGATTCGATCATTTTTCAAGCCAAAATTGAACATAATTATCAGCCACATAAATACATTCGAGTTGACAGTTTTTTTTTTCTGTATCAGCGAGTTCTTCCAATATTGTACTATTGAATAATGAATGTGGATTTGAAAATTGTATTATCATCGTTTCCAATTTATGCATGTTACAACAAATTTGACAGATAGTCAAAAGCCAATTGTTATCATTCATTGATTGCAAATTCAACAATCTATATTGTTCAACGCAAATATTTCGCAATGACGATGATACACCCAATCGAGCAATGACAGTTAAAGTATCATCATCCAGAGGGATATCTAGTTGACGCACAATAAGTTCTTGGAGAGATGAAAATCGGTCGATTGTACCATTAAGATTTATTGTTGGCAAAAGCTTCAATAACATTTGTGTATCGATATTCAATAATCGTATATGTGGCATCCAATTTAGCCAAGTCATTGTGGTGCTAATTAGTTCTTCTCCTACATAATACATTTATATTTTAAAATGAACAAAAATAATATTATTAAATCGATCAAATACGTTATGATTATTTAACTTGTTTAAAATTAATAAAAAGACAAATCTTTTCTTTTTCTTTCAAATAGGGTTATATTTAAGTGAAAACTCTTTTGAATAAAATAATTCTATCGGATATTAGTGGATAAAACTGAAAATAAACTCTTATGTATTTACTTATGTGATTTTCAATAGATGGTACCAGTTGAAATTGATCAAATGGCATCAGATTGTTTTCATTTTGTGCTAATTGATAATAGCTACGAGGTTCAACTCTTATTGTATGTCCTTATTTTATAAAATAAGTTTACTTTGCACAAAGACAAATGTTGATAAGAGACGATAAGAATAAATTACCTCGATAATTTCCTTTTTTCAACAAAGTAACAAAAGATGAACTCAAATTTTCATTTTGACCAATTTGCACAGACAAATTATTAGCTTTTGCAAACAGCATTGATATTAAATCATCAGTTTAATATCCAGTCTGATTGAAATGTGTGTCGATAACATCAGTGGTTATCACAAAATAATCAGAAAACGCATAGGGTAATGAAAAAAATACATAAAAACAATTTAATTTATCATAATGAATTCCAATTAACATCGATAGCCAATATTCTGAAAACAAAATTTGAAATTAATAATCATGAACTATATTTTCTAGATGAAATACTTACATCGAGCTACTTTTTAATCAGAATAAAAAATATATATTCTACGTTTTTGACTAATCTTATCGATGAAAGAAGCTGCCAAAGATAATCTCGATTAATCTAATATTTATCCAACAGTTGAGACAAGCTCCAGAAATAGTCACCGATTGCCTTATTATTTAACAAACTGTAGCTCTGGATGGAGGATCAGCAAGGGGGAAAAAGCGGATTCCGTCTATCCCGGATACGGCCGGGATACAGAGGATACGGAGGATACATCGGGGATACAGAGGATACATCGGGGATACGGAGGATACGATGGAGATACATAGGATATCTCTGAGATTAAGAAGACAAAGTTTAATACTAAGCAGAAAATTAATAAAATATGGGTTGTATATCATCGGATTAATAATGATCAGTTCTGGTGAAGACCTCTCATCAATACAAAGAGTTTGAAACGCCTTTTTCACATATTTCGATTAACATGAAAACAAAAATAAAACTGTTTAAATAGTGTAGTGCCTAATCATCAATGGGAGAAGGNTCATTTGAAATGTTTTTTTGCTTAATGTCGTGCTCAATCGACATAAGCAAATAGAGTTGTTGTTATTTCTCTTTTTCAGCTAAAATATTTGTCATAGATTGAAGAGTCTCTCTCTCTCTCTCTCTCTCTCTCTTCAATATAACGACAAGTTGAGAAAAAAAAATGATCTTATCGGTCACTTGGAAAAGGATCATAAATCATAAAGACAATAAAAAAAATAGCGGGAGAAAACGAGAGAGACAGAGATTCTTTTTCTTTTTGCTCTTCCTTTCATTGGTTTCGAAGAGAAATATACATTGATTGATATCTATTTGACCGAATGACCACTGAAAACAACATATCCGAAAACGGATATATTTCAACGTTTTCTTCAATAAATAACAAAACAAATAATAGGTAGGAACTGATTATTCTTTTAATATTACAAAACAAAACAAAACAATATTTGATAAAAATTTGTGTAAATTCTTTCAATTTAAAAAATAAGTTAAACGAGAAGAAAATTGTCATTGTTTATCGATGTCAAACAAATCAAACGTTAGAACTGACGCAATAGAAAAAAGAAAATTTCTTTTGCTACGAAAAAAAAGACATCATCTATGTTTGATCGAGAAGTACATATTATTTGCCAAATAACTTCTTCTTTTTTTTCTTCTTTCTTTTAAACAAAAGAAGAATGTAAAATACCTCGATAAACATCCGCGGTCATTGAGCAGATGTTTCGATATTTTTACAAAAAAAAAAAAGAAAATTTTCTATCATTAGTCACCTGAAAAAGCAATTAAATAAAAAGAAAGAACTTTTTTTTTCTTGTTTTTATTCAAAATTTAGTACGATTGAAATTTGTAGGAGAAGAAGAGTAAATGGTTAACATATAAGGTCAGTATTATAATGTGATAGTCAAAGTAGCATATAAAAATCATTGTTTATTGCTAAACATCATAAAATGAACTCTCTTTCTTTTTTTTCTCCCATTGAACAATGACAAAAGTCAATTTTATATTAATAGATTATTTCGATTATATGCCCGTCAGATACAATAGATTATTTTCATTTATTTCTATCATTATCATTAAATGATTATTCAGTCGTAGGTTATAGATTTACCTAAAGAATTACTATTAGTTCTATTAATAACAGATAACAAAAACAAAAGTACGATTTAACAATGAGCTTTTAAATACATAATGATCATTAATAACATGAAAAGATATGATTGATGTTAATATAAGATGAAACAAAACGATAGGAATTTTTTCTATCTTAACTCTTTATGACAGAAGAAAGAAAGTCAAATAATTGAATTTAATGTGATTGTATCTGTAAATGTTTCTTTCAATGAGATTATCACGGTTGTGAAAAAAAAAGTGTAAATAAACAATTTATATTATGATCCATAAAGATCTATGAAACTGATGAACATCTGTTTATTTCATATAAGTTGCAATAGAAACAAAACAATTTTAGATCAATGGATCCATCATTTGAAATGTTTAATCGATCATCATATTTTCCAATCTATCCTTATCCATTATCTGTTCCATCTGAAATCTCATCATTCAATTCGATATCATTTCGAACAAATAATAATATTACAACTAATGATTATTCATCATATTATCCTGACAATATATCAACATATCCATCAAATTCTTATACAAATTCGAGGTCTCATTCTCCTATTAATCAATCAAATACTACAGGTATTTAAAAAAAAAAAATAAAATTGATTTATTTTTTTTTTTTTGTTAATATTCTATTAGGTGTTGACATATCAATTGATCGATATAATAATAATAGTTCATTATGTTTATTTAATTCTCGTAGTGATCATTGTCTTGTATGTAATGATCGTGCATCTGGAATACATTTTGGTGTATCAACATGTGAAGCATGTAAAGCATTTTTTCGTCGTACTAGTATTTCATCATATTCAATTCCAGAACCATGTTCACCAATACGATGTGAAATAAATACTAAAAATCGTAATAATTGTCCTAGTTGTCGTTTTGATAAATGTAAACGTCTTGGAATGGATCGAGATAATGTTATTTATGGAAAACCATCTAAACAACATATTAATTCAACTTATCATCAAGATTATTTTATTGAACAATTAACAAATATATCAAATGAATTAATAAAAATTTTTCAAAATATTTATTCTATTTATCAAATATCATTATTAAATTCATTTGAAAATAAACAACAAATAGATAAATTTGCACAAATTCTATTTCAACTTTTTTATGAACAAACATTCCAAAGTCATGTAATGAATTTT